GGCATGGTGGCACATGCCTGTAGTCCCAGCTATTCAGGAGGCTGAGGCAGTAGGATTGCTTGAGCCCAGGAATTTGAGGTTGCTGTGAGCTAAGCTGACACCATGACACTCACTCTAGCCTGGGCAACAAAGTGAGACTCTGTCTCAAAACAAAAAACAAAAAACAAAAACCCACCACAATTTAAACTACAATGAGATATCACTTATCTCCAGTGAGAATGGCTTTTATCAAAAAGTCCCAAAACAACAAATGCTGGCATGGATGCAGAGAGATGGCAACACTCATACAGTGCTGATGGGACTGCAAACTAGTACAACCTCTATGGAAAGTAATATGGAGATACCTCAAAGAACTCAAAGTAGAACTACCCTCTGATCCAGCAATCCTACTACTGGGCATCTACCCAGAGGGAAAAAAAAGTCTTTCTATAATAAAGACATTTGCACTCGAATGTTTATAGCTGCACAATTCACAATTGCAAAGATGCGGCAACAACCCAAGTCCCCATCAATACATGAGTGGATTAATAAAATGTGGTGTATGTATACCATGGAGTATACTGTCTACTACTGTCTACTACTGAGCCACAAAAAACAATGGTAAACTAACACCTCTTGTATTATCCTGGATGGAGCCTGGAGCTCATTCTCCTAAGTGAGGTATCCCAAGAATGGAAAACAAGCACCTCGTGTACTCACCATCAAATTGGTACTAACTGATCAACACTTATGTGCGCACATAGAGAAGTTACCTTCATCGGGTGTCAGGCAAGTGGGGGAGGATGGGTATATATACATCTAATGGGTGTGGTGTGCACTGTCTGGGGAATGGGCACGTTTGTATTAACAGCTTCGACTTGGGTGGTGCAAAGGCAATATATGTAACCTAAATGTTTGTATCCCTATAATGTTCTGGAAAAAAACAAAAAAAAACCCAAAAACCTATACTGATGATAACCAAAAATAGAGCTCATGGTCCTTTGTAATTTCCCTTTATAAACAAGACTTGTACCCCACATACTTCAGAAAGAACTCTCTATTACTTGGAACTTAAGGATGATGCCAGCCATGCATTGTTCCATTCTTGATCGATGAATTCATATTTTTAAAAACGTATAACAAGGTCTCTATTTTTCAACTGAAAGTCAGTATTAAAACCAACTCTCCTTCCTTTTTATTTCAAAATCCTGGAGCTGGCTGGGCACAGTGGCTCATGCCTATAATCCTAGCACTCCGGGAGGCCAAGGCAGGCGGATCGCTCAAGGTCAGGAGTTTGAGACCAGCCTGAGCAAGAGCGAGACC